ATAGATATAGATATAGATATAGATATAGATATAGATAGGTATAGATATAGATATAGATAGATATAGATATAGTAATTGTCTTTGTCTTTTATAATCAGTGTTGAATTGAAATCCACTTTGTCCCAAAAAAAGTATAGCTACCCATTCTTTTCTCTCAGTTCCTATAGCAGAAGATATTGTTTTCCATACCTTGGCTTTTAGTCTCTTAATTTCCTTTTGAAGTAAATGTACTTCTAATGTGTAGCATAACGTTTCATCTTATTTCTTGATCTATTCTACTAGTTTGTTTCATTTGACTGGTGCATTAAGACCATTAACATCAATCGTTACAACATATATGTATATATACATATGTGTATAACAGATACATATATATATATAAAAAATACATACATATATATGTATTTTTTAACCAACTTTGACTATTAATTTGATGAGTTCTAAGATGGATTTAACTCTATTTCCTTTTCTATAAAAATGTATTTTAAACCCATGTTGGACTATGTGACTAGATCTTAACCATGGTTTAGCTAAAATGAATTAATAATTGAGTTATATCTAATTCAATACTTCTACTCAACTGGTAAACTAGCTAAGCATTAAACTACTTATATCTAAATCTAAAATTGGTCACAAAATTAAGAGAATGAGGAAAATCATTAAATTAATAATAGTAGCACTACTCAAGATAACTTACTTCATGCAGTCAGCAAACAGATTTTCCACTCCAACGGAATGAGCAATAAGTAGGCATTCTACTACAGACGCCAATGTTCTGGGAACAGGCTAAAATTGATAGAAAGCACCGCATTTATTCTTTTTCAATTACCAAAGGCATTAAAAATATTTGGCTCATAAACAAAATCTAATTTACATATTAAACTATGTAATAAAGACATGAAATTTGGGGGCCGGGGAGATGGCTCAGTAGAATAAGCGCTTGCCTGTCAAGCACAAGGGCCTGAGTTCAATCCCCAGTTCCACCATAAAAAAAAACCATGAAATTTAAAAACTGATTGATTTTTAAATGTCACGCATAATTGTTTACCTAAATTTAATTTCTGCAGTACTCTATTTCTACACATGCTCTAGTCAATATTCTAAAACATTGTTTCTTAAACATACGTTTCCACTAAAAATCAGATTTTTGTTACAGCAACTTTGCTTATAATGGTCAAAACTTGGAAGCAACTAATATGTCCTTCTGTATGTGAATGTATGAGTAAATTGTAATATACCATTGGAATATTCAGTACTAACAAGAGCTGAGTTTTCAAGCCATGAAAATATGTGGCAGAAACTGGAACATGTATTACTAAGTCAATATTAAAGAGAAGACAACTTGAAAAGGCTACATGATCCATACATGATTCCAACTGCATAATACTCTTTTAAAAAATTCCCAAATTATGAGAACTATAAAAAGATCTAACTCCCAAGAGTTACAGAGAAGAAAGAAATTTTAGGATACTGAAAATACTCCATGATACTATTATGATGGATACACATCACTATATATTTCTCCAAACTCATGCAATATACAATATGAACAGTGAACCCTAATGTAACTATAGATGTTGGTGATAATTATGTCAAGGTAGGTTCACCAATTGTATCAAATGTACCATTCTAGGGAAGGATTTTATTTATTTATTTTTTTGGCAGAACCAGGGACTGAACTCAGGTTCTTGCATTTGCCAGGGAAGTGCTTATTCCACTGAGCCATCTCCCCAGCTAGGGAAGGATTTTGATAATGGAGAGGTTATACATGTGTGGAGGTAGTGGGTATATGGATATCATTGTATCTTCTTAATTTTGCTGTAAACCTATAGTTGCATACAAAAAGTTTTTTAAAAGTCTATTATTACTTTAAAATGAAAATATCTAATAACTTTTAGTTTTATAGAATAACATATGAGTTTTTAGTTTTCACAATGCACATAATTTTTATTTTAACTTAAATATTTTTAAAAATGAAAGTGGTATTATAATTTCTGGCACCTTCCACTCCACTACAACCATACAGTCTAATCTGTTTCCTAAAGTATAAATATTACTGCCTTATTTCCTCCTAGATAATACCTAACCAGAAAATAAACACTAGCATAATTTTTCAGGATGCTCATGGTATAAGCCTTACCCCCCAAATAAGTCCCAGTTATGATCATCAGCCAGACAGAAGCATCTAATATGCCCACTGCAAAATGTGACAGATACACTAAATTCTAGAACAATATTACCATATAATTAAATATAAGTAATATTATTAACATTAATACTTTACATAATAATGTAGGTTATAATTATCTGTAAATAATGGAAATATATCACAATGGATGCATTGTGACAGGTAAATGTCTTAGATAAAATGAACTGAAGACAATACTGAGTGACCAATTGGAGTAATTTATAATGCATGAATAAGGTACACACTTGATAACAAATGTATGTGGTTATGTGTAATATGAATATTCATAATTCAACATATCATGTGTTGTAATGACACATTTAACTCATTTGTGTGAAATAAAAAACATTCTCTGAATTTGGGTGCCCATTTTTCTTTTTTGTCACTTTTATGTGAACCATCATTCCGAACTGTCATAATTTTTGTTGCCTCTTTTGTTTCTGAAGTCTACACTTAATTTAATGGAAACTTTATGAAGAATTCACAGGATAAAATTACTGACAGCTATGTTTCCAATGCACTATGAGCAGCACTCATTTAAGGAGAATTCTATTGCTGGACATGAGAGACTGGGCCAATGGTTTTATAGGAAATGGAGTAGTAAGAAATTTAGGTCAGAATTTGTGGTTTGGAGAATTATGATAATGTTCCAGAAGAAGATTTTTTTTTTTTTTTTGGTGGAATCAGAGATTGAACTCAGGCCCTTGTGCTTGCCAGGGACGTGCTTATTCCACTGGACCATCTCCCTGGCCCCAGAAGATGTATTTGAATAAATGTAGATTTTTGTGCATAAATTAATAAATGTAGAATGCTGTCCATGAGTAAATAAAGACTGCTGTACATGAAAGAAATAAGATATTTCCTGAAGATAAACCTTATTTTGGTTTTTGGAGCAAAAGTTAATATAAGACCTATTCTTATTTTCAGGGAAATAAGGTAATCACATAAACAAAGGGAGGCTCTATAATGGCTTCATATAAAAAGAGAGGATTTAATTAGATCATAATATAGAACATATTTTCTTATGCGCTCTATATAGAAGTCGTGAATTTAAAAAACAAAAGTAGATACAGGCAGGGAAAACAATTTAATATTTTTGGTGCTAATTATCTGTGCTATATTCTACATAAGCAATATACATTCCTAGGAAAGTTTGTTTAATTAAGTTGGATTCTTTTTCTACACATTTATTAATTGTGATTTTGAATTTACACATTTAAAGATCAGTAAGTCAATTTATAAGTATATACTTCTAAAGATTCTCTATTCTCAAAGCAAAACAAAAGCTTTAGAAACGTCTTCAGTATTATTAAAGGGGTCAATAATTTTCAACTTTTTAATTAGGAGCCATTAATTTGATTTTCTAACACTCTTCTCCTAAAAGTGTTACATTAGGGACCAGGGAGATGGCTCAGTAGAATAAGTGCTTGCCTGGTAACTGCAAGGGCCTGCGTTCAATCCCCAGTTCCAAAAAAAAAAAGTGTTATATTAGTATTTGATTAGTCTTTGAGAACTGAATGTATTTTCTTTTGTATATTAACAATTAAAGTTAAACCATTAAAATCCTCTTAAGATAACTGGAGGTTTTTCGGATTACCTTAAAATCAGAAAATCCCATCACAGTAGTGATTATATAGAACTAATTCTACTACCAAGTTAAATAATTTGGTTTTTAGACCCATTTCAGATGAGAATATTAAATTAGTATAAAAGAACAGGATACTCAGAGAGACATACTTGACAGCCTAACAACATTCAGCAGTCTGAAAAATTATGAAAGTATTGAAAAAGGCATTTTAAAAAATCTAGTAGTCTAATTTGCATAGGGTGAACCAGCCATATACAACACGAAATCTATTAACTGATGCATAGTAAAAAAACAATTTCAAAATTATTAAAATACAAAATAATTTCTTGTTTAAAGTAGAGACTGGTAAACTATGCCCTGTGGGCCAAATCTAGCTCACCATGTCTATAAAATTTTCCTGGAACCATTCCAGGCATTTCATTCATACACTGTTTACAGTCACCTTTGATCTACAACTGCAAGGTAGTTGTGACAGCAATTATATGACATACAAAGCCTCACTTGATTACTATCTTTTAACAGAAAAAGTCTGCTGAGTCCTGGTTTACAGGGATAACTAGCTCTCTGAGAACTTATTTATGTGGAAATGCTTATTTCCAAGTATTTTTATTTATTTATTTTTATGTATTTAGTATAGAGTCTACAGGGTCTCACTACCCAGATCGGACTTGTAGTGATTCTCCTGTTTTCAGCCTCCCAAGCACTGGGATTACAGGTGTGCGTCACCACACCCAGTCTCAATCACCACCTCAGCTCAGCCCAGGAGCAGGGTCAGCACAGCAGGCCAGGGACTAAACCCCCGACCCCTGCATGTGCCTAAGCAGGTGCTTTAATCTGTTGAGCTATCTGGCCAGACCTTCCAAGTATTTTTCTAATAAGATGACTAGTCACTTCCACCATCTAATATAGAATTTGGGAAGACATACTTAGATTTTTGTCTAATACACAGTTTTATTTGGTGGGAAAAATACAAAGTCCTTATTAATCTTCTATATGAAATCTAAAAATTAACTGTAAAATTCAGGATTATGAAGTTAATAAAATGGCTAAATCTAGCTTTAGATATGAGTTCTGGCACCAGTTGCCCATTACATTATATTTATTTTATTTTTTTATACAGGGTCTCACTATGCTGCTCAGGCTGGCCTTGAACTTACTACAGAGCCCAGGCTGACCTCAAACTTGTGGTGTAAGGGGTTTTTTTGTTCCTCGAATGCCTTCAGGGCACTTTTGGCCAGCGGGAGAGTTGTGAGGTTCGAAGTCCAGCAACCTGAGGCTGACAGTTTTGTGGAAGCAGCCACTTAAAGGACTGAGCTAGGGCCAGGCCCCCAACCTCAAACTCGTGGTGATCCTCCTGCCTCAGCCTCCGAAGTTCTGGGATTATAGGCATGCACCACCACACCTGTCTATATTCAAATTTGTATTTACTGTGGAGTAGTGTTCTAAGTTTATAATAGTCAAATCACTATCAAGAGACTGAATAGGAACTAAAAGTTAAAAATTATATATATATATATATATATATATATATATATATGTATATATATTCAGAACTATATTTATAAAAATATATATTAAAATATGTAAAGTAAAAAATTTTAAGGATCAAGTCAATGAAAACAAACTCAAATATACATCACAATAGTAATACAGTAAAAGTATCAAAGTATGTATCTGAATTATAGTATAACTTTTTAAACAAAGTGCTATGCTGATAAAAAGCAACAGTTGTTTTAATAGAAGTAAATGTACTTTTCATGTTTTAAAAATTAAATGATGCTCTTTTGTGGTTCACAAGTGTGATAACTGTTTTCCCGCCAGTATATGAGATGCACCTCCCTCAAACCATATTAAAATGTCAGCACATTACCCATCTTTATAAAAAATGTAAGAATTTAAAAAAACAGATTATTAAAAGCAAAACCAAAAAGCTGCATATAAACCAGGTATTTGTGAACACATCAAAAAAATAGGTAACAGTCCAAAAAGAACTCATGAAAATGATTTTTACAAAATGTTAGAAAGATATAATTGGTTTATTGGAGGTATCTCAGCACAAAGGAAATATTAACAAAAAACTTTTCTCTGGGGCTAAGGAGATAGCTCAGCAGTCTAAGTGCCTGCCTGGCAAGCACGACGACCCAGGTTTGATCCCTGGTACCACATGCAGTGCTGGCCTGGAACCCTGGGCGTGCTGTGCTGGCCTCGAAACCAGGCATGGTGGTGCATGCCTATAATTTCAGCTCTGGGGACGCTGAGACAGGAGAATCACTGTGAGATTCATCTGTGTAGTGAGATTCTATATCAAATAAAAAAATTAAAAAAATTTAATTACAACTTTCCCACCCCAACTAATTCTCTTAACTAAGCTATGTCAAATTTCCCCCTTTATCATCCTTTAATAACATTTTAAGCAAATTTCTGTAACTTTCTGGTTTTATTATTAAAGCTTGGTACAGTTTTAACATCTATCATATTTCTGATCTCTAGCACTTGTATTTTCTGGATTTAATTCTATGAAAGAAGGCATGGGTGCCTATGATCATCTTATATAATTAAATGGACACTAAGATGGTACTAGGGATTTGTATTCCACTTAGCTTTAATTCAGACACTGGTGGCCTTTCTTGATGTGTGATTCTTTTAGGGGCTCCTATTAGTTAGTATTTTTAATATTTAAAAGCAGTATTCTTACCAAAGTGAAAAACTAACAAGTAATAATAAATGACTTCAACCACTAGGTAAAAGATTTCTGAGATTCAATAATTACCTTCTGAAAGAAATTACAGTAATCTCTTCTTAAAATGTAGATTGCTACTTCTTTTAATCCATCTAGTCCATACATATCAGCAATACTGAGTATCTGACTAAAATAAAAATAGATGTACTGTTAATTCCCTAATTTAAGAAAATTCAAAACATAACACACAGTAATTTCTTAATAATAAATGGTATGTTTAGAAAAAGAATTTGCATTATTTTAATCCTATTTTACTTAATATTATAAACATTTTTTACAGATTATAGAAAGGACATAACCAAAAGTTGAAAGGATTGGCTCATGATTTACTTTTTTTTTTGAATTAATATTTTTTTCCATAATTTTATTGAGAAACAAATAGCAATGAGACAGTTTCAAATCAAATTGGTAGGACAGTTCCAATATGATTTACTTAATGCTGAATAATACAGAATGAGAGATGTTTCAAACTTCCCTCATACGCTCAGTGACATACAGAACAAATTCCAGGAAATTGCTTTGAAGGCTACACATGCTACATAAATCTTTCCAATGAATTTATCTAATAAGGCTTGGGGAGGAAATTCATTGAATTTATCATATTCAAAATATCTACAAATTATTCTAAGATTAAAGAAAACATTCAGTCACAAAATTTTTATCATTTGGATAGTTATTTTTTCTAGTACCTACACATACTTTAGGCATGTAGAAAAATTACAAGCCTTGAAAGCATGATAAAAATTCACGTAGGGGCTCTTCTTGGCCTTGGGTTAGAGTGGCAGGCTCATGGCTCACCAGCTACATAGTGACTGTCACCAAGGCACCATCACAGTTGGGCATGGACCCCCCATGGTCAAGTAGCCTCCGGTGCCATGTCATAGAGTGGGGTCCCCAGATGCAGGAAGAGAACCTGCAGGACTCCTGGGTAGAACTGCACTTCATCAATAATGGGAATGGGAACAGTGTTCCAGCCTCATTTTTTATTTATAATGGTGACATAGAAAAAATACTGCTAGTTGCCCGTCATGAATCTGGATGGAGCAGCTCCAAGAGTTCTCACTGTGACAGGTAGGGTTAACCTCCCTTACTCACAGATGCCACAAGATATTAACAGAGTTTCTGAAACAGATACACATAGCATTGGAGAAAAGAACAGCTCTCACTCCAAGGAGGATTATATTGAGAAAAGGAAAGAAGCTGAAAGCACCTTAAAGAAAAACTCAGATTGGATATGGGGTTGGTCAAGTTGGCCAGAAAATATTCCTCCCCAGGAGTTCCTATTTAAGCACCCAAAGTGTTCAGCTACTCTCAGTATGAGAAATACAAGTGTTATGAAAAAAGGGGGCATTTTCTCAGCAGAATTTCTCAAGGTTTTTCTTCCATCTCTGCTGCTGTCTCATCTATCAGCCATTGGACTGGGAATCTACATTGGAAGCATCTCAATTTCCACCAGCACTTTCTGATGAAGAATTGGATCCCACTTGGCTGATGTAGGGATTTGTATCTGAGCTTGGACAGCTAACTTGAAGAGCCATCTTGATCGTTGAGTGGCTGCACCATGATTAGTTAAAAAGAATAGACACTAAAATCATGCTGATTTATAATTACATCTATGGGATCAAAAGAAATATTGTGGTCTTGTAATTATACTAGTGTAGAAAGTTTAATTTAGATGGGTGCAGATTATCTTAAAAGACCACTTAATCATATAAACTGTTCTTAAGAAATAGAGAACAAGACACAATTACAAGCTCCCCTGAGTTGGTACACTAAGCTGTTGCTTTCCAGTGAGGAGCCTAGGGAGTGACTGTGGGCATCAGTTTTCTTTTTTTTTTCTTTTTTTTTATTTATTTTATTTTATTTTTTTTTTTCAGAACCGGGGATTGAACTCAGATCCTTGAGTTTGCCAGTCAAGCGCTTATCCTACTGAGCCATCTCCCAGGCCCCAGGCATCAGTTTTCTGATGAAAGCATCTATTGAGGATCTTTTACCCTTTGTTACTCTGGACCTCTGGATTTAATCTTATTGTTGTGCTCAACTTTTGTGCGTTCTTAAAATTAGCTTTATTGTAAACAAATCTGTATTTTCTTTAGGAGATTGGAAATAGATATAAATTACTGCCAACTCCTTTGGAGATTACTGTAATTGTATAGGGTTAAAAATCAATTAATTGGGCTGAGGATATAGCTCAGTGGCATAAGGACCTGCATGGCAAGTGCAAGGTCCCAAGTTCAATTCCTAGTATTGAAAAAAAAATCAATTAATTATGAAAGCTTCTTGGTTACACCAGACCTGTTCTCCATTATTGCATCATTCTTTTTTTTCTTTTCTTTTTTTTTTTTTTTTTTTTTTTTTTTTTACCAGATATTGAACTCAGGACCTTGAACTTGCCAGGCAAGCACTTTTTCCACTGAGCTATCTCCCCAGCGCCCGTCTTTTTTTTTCTTCCTTCATTGCATCATTCTTTGTATTTTCTACAGCATGATTTTTAGAAAGGCTGCATCTTTAATAAGCTTTGTATGTTATATGGTGTTGTTTCACCTTTCCATCCTTAATTTCGGTGTGTTAAAATAAATGTAACATTTTAACTTTTGAATAAAAAAAATTCATGTAGGTTTCAAGGGGAGAAAATTTTAACACTGAATTCCTCTGATCCATGATTATGTTCCTCCCCCAAAATATTATTCAGTTTGAAATCTAACTTCTGTGAATTGTTAAAATTAAAGGGAAGGAATTTCATTTGTCTCATGTTAAAATATAAGGAAAAGGAAAGACATCTGGAAAAGGAAAACAGGTACTTTTATTCTCTAATAGAATTTTAGAAGCTGAAATGGTATTTAACTGTATAATTTATATGAATGACATAATTATTGGTCTTTGGGATACCTTTATATTAAGTAAATTTTGAGGTTTTTCTTTCCTTTTAATGTTAAGAATATCCTAAAATTTAAAAATAAAGTAATAAAATATATTCAATTTTAGATAAAATACTGGTTAATGGATTACAAATTTAAGCCCAGCCTGGGAAATTTAAGGAGAGCCTATCTCAAAGAAAAGAAAAAAGAAAACAACAACAAAAAAAAATGGTAAAATAGCTTGATGGGACAGTGCTTGTATAATGTTTGTGAGGCCCTGGGTTTAACCCTGAGTACTATAAAGGAAAGGAAAGAAGAAGAGAAGGAAAGAAAAAGATTCTTCTAACAATTTTAGTCTAACGAAGTTTTCTTACTCTTATTACTATGAGTTACTATGTCAGATTTTATTCTAAATAAGATGACTTGTTTATTATTTTTAGATATTCCTTAAACAAATTCAAGATACAGCAAAATAGGTCATAAAATTTAGGGGTGCTTCTCCTTCACTGACAAAGCAACATAACTAAAGTAGAACATGCAAAATGTTAAGATTTTATATTTAAATTCATTAAAAAGTAATACATACCCAATATTAGTTTTGTGTGGAAAATCCAAAGTTCCTCCATAGATAAAATGCATCATAATATTCATTTCTATATGGTTTATACTGCAAAATAAAACAAAACTCAAAGCCAGAAATAGTTAAGGTTTAATGTTAGTGATACATTCTGTTGTTCTATAAAACTTTTGGTCAAGAGAAAGTTCTAATTTAAATTTTGTTCAAACAACATCCATGTACATATTTCACTAAAATAAAGCATGCCTGTGGGTTTCTACATGAATTATAAAATGTTATTAATATATTATCAAATCATTGATTATTTATTGAGCATCTTCTTCTACAGACTTTTAAATGTTGAGACTTTAGAAGTCATTATCTAATCTCTAACTCACTAGAGGTGAAATATAGTGAGATAAGTACTCGCCTAACTTGTATAAGGCCCTGGGTATGACCAGCAACACCGCAAAAAGAAAAGAAAAAAAAAAAAAACCTCCCTTCAGCAACTTTAATAAATGGCCTCCAGTCTTATAAACGAACAACTATTGATTCACTAGAGACATTCTTGTTATGCTATACATATTTCTTTTTATCTCATGTTATTTTTATTAGTACATACAGTTTATCCAAATCAGTGCATTTCATTTTTATAGACTATATACTTCGATCATCTTTGTCCTCTGTGCTTAGTTTCACATTTTTTTAAATTTTTATTTTTAGGGAAGGGTCTACAGTGTGTTCAGGGTCTCACTACTAGATTGGACTCGTAGTGATCCGCCTGTTTACAGCCTCCCAAGAGCTGGGATTACAGGCTTGTGCCTCCATACCCAGTCTCAACTGCTGTCTCAGTGCACCCTAGGGAGCAGGGCCCTCACAGCAGGCCTGGGGAACAAACTCCCAGGCCCTGAGCCTCCTTGCAGGTGCTTTAATCTACTGAGCTATTTGGCCGGCCCTTGCATCTTGGTCCACCTGCTATTCCTCTGTACCAAGGAGAACAGTTTAGTGGGCTGGTGAAAAACAGCCACTGACTGAACTTAAGAAGTAATTTGATTTCTCCCTTCCTGCTGAATCAGTGAGAAGAAATGGTGGGGGAACAGTGTATCCACTATGCAGAATTACATTTCTTAGGTGAACTGATTTACATGGGTTAAGTAAGCAAACCAACTTTAGATCTTCCACTGAAATTCATTCTACTATTTTAATAGTTCTTAAAAATAATAAAGGAATTATGTCTTATTTTATCTGCTGATTCTTTTATTATGAACAGGAAGGAAACATGCTATTTATTAAGCCCTCTTAAAAACTCTAACAAATGTTCACCTAAATGTCTAAGTCTGGACCTCAGATTCATCTAATCCTCTCCCTCATTATACCCTGCCATTTACATCTTCAAGAATTTCTTGAATTCAGCCTTTCCTCTTTGATTTCCCTCTTGCTGCCTTGGTTGGCCCACTTATTTTTATCTCATGTGAACTGTGACAACACCTCTCATACAGCGTTCCTTTCTAAAATTTTCTGCTTGTATTTTCACATTGCTATTTGAACAAATTTGCTAATCTAATATATTCTCCCACTTACAACTCTTCATCAATTCTCCAGAGCCTGTAGGAAAAAAGTCCAAATTCTTTAGCTTGATCTAATATTTTATCATCTAACCTCTATGCCTTCCTTTCTCCTAGCTGTTCTAAGATAAATGAATATACTCATCTTCTATACTTGAACTACCTATAATTCCTTATATATCCATATCTTAGCAATACTTCACTGTGCTTAAAATGTTCTTCCTTTCCACATAGTTCATCTTTCAGGCACAAAACATGTGGCTCTTCATCTCTGATTGTTTCATTAACATTCCCAAAGCAAAAACAAAAACCTCAGTGTTATAAACAATGACTAACATTTATTGAGGAATCATTATGAGACAGTCCCTGAGCTAATACGGTCTTTGAATGCTAGTGACTCTTTAATTATCATAACAATTGAACAGCAGGCACTATTATTAACCTCTTTTTATATACTTAAAAACTGAAATTAAATAACTTGTCCACATTCATATATCTAGTAATCCATAAGAATTTAATCAAGGTAAAATTATTCCAAAGCCTGGGCTCTTAAGCATTATTCTGTATTTACTTTCATTAATACACTTATTAAAGTGTCTTGCAATGTCTGTATGTATTTGTCTCTTTCTAGAGTCTCTCCTATAAACACAATACTCATGTCTTATTTATCCCTGTATCTCTAGTACCAGAAAATAAGACAGTTGATTCAATACCCCCATAGAAGAATTTCTTTTCCCTTTTTAACTGGAGCTCTACAGTAGACTCTTGATGGAGATAATGCTGATAAGACCACCAAAGATCATTAAGCATAGTGCCTAATATCTGCTAAAGGAACAAAGTGAAAAAGGCAAAAAGAAAAGAAATGGAGTTCCAGAGGGCAGGACTCTGACAGGTGTTTACTTCAATTCTATGACCTTAAATAATGTATGTTCAGTAAGTGTTTGATTAATGTTTAATCAACAGCTTATTAGACACAGAAGAACTCAATCCTTCCACCTAAACCTTCACAGTAACACTGAATTGAAAGTATTTTAATATTCATTTAATAAATATTATTGGCCTCTATTGTGGCTAAGTACTAGCTCCTGCTAATTTAAAATTCTATCTTTAATATTTAAAGAAAATGGAAATATCTGAAGTCTCATTTATGTACTATGAATAAAAAATACCAAATCTCAGAATAAGTAATCCATATTATCTACAGTCCCTTAATCTAAAATACCAGAGTAATTACCAGAATGTACACTATAATACTCTTTTCCTTATATTTCTCAAGAGCCATTCTTATTAACATTAATAATAACTGGCCATTATATTGAAAGAATAATTTAAAACTTGCATGTTTAAGCAAAAGATACTAACTAAATAAGTCTTTTATTAAAATAAGCAACAAAATCTAGACATGTATTATCTATAAAAATACATGTAAATATAAAGTTCTACACAATGAGCCTCTGTATCAATATATGATAGTGATAAAAACAGCAAAAAACTATTTTCCTGCTGTCTGAACAAATGTTTTACCAAGTTGCACTCTTACTATTATACTTTTGCTAAGAGTATTTATAAAGACATAGTCAACTGACTTAGAAAAATTATTTATTAGAAAAATTATTCCAATAGCCCACAGTTTAAATGGAAAAAATTAAAGCACTATTTTAACTAAATGTAATCAAGCAAAAAGTTACAGGAGATGAAAACATTATATATATTCAGAGTTTAAAGTGAGAACAACTAACAGGAGGATGAGGATTTAAGATCAGAAACTAAATATGCATTTAACTCTGTAAAATCTCTATGCCTTCTAATGTTTCAGGTTCCTAAGTGTATGGGCTGATATATAAACTCACTCATTTGTTTATTCTTTTGTCTGTCTATCCAATTATATTCACCATTGAGTTCTACTCTAGACATTGGGAACACAAGAGGCTTATATTCTAGGAGGAGTACACAAACAATAAACATGTAAATACATAATTAAAGAAAGTACTTTGGATAGTCAAAAATGCCAAGAAGACAAACACACCAACATAACATAAAAGAGAGCAATTAAGTTTGGGCTATAGCTACTCCAGGTGGGGTAATCTGGGAAGGTGACATTTGCGCTCAGATTTTAAGCATGAAAAGCCACCAGCCATGTAAAATGCTATGTGAAAAGCTCTTAAGCAGAGGCAATACCAAATGCAAAAGCCCTATGGCAGGAATGAACTTAGTGGAGAAAAAAACAAAAAAGTTTGGGGTTAATTCAAATTGCGATAGGATGATGTCGAAATATTTTCGTGAGAAGAGGCATATGATGTATATGTCAAAAAATTGTTCTGAAAGCTTAGGACAATACCAAAGATCTTCTGAGAAGAGAAAAATCTAAATTTATGCTCCAAAGTTCATGGCACCACTGTAGGGATTTTATGAAATTACAGAGTTCCTTTATAGAAGCATCAGCTCAATTTCATTCTAGTATGTGAAAAAAATTTCCCTTCCTCTCATTCGAAAAGGATAATTTCCTTCCATTTATTGCTTTCTGCTTCCCAACTCTGGGGCATGAGCGGAGCTAGGATTACAAAACTCTAATATACCCACCTCAATTTATTGAAAGCTATACCTCTTGAAAAATAATGCATACATTATATCTTCGAGTTAACTATCATTAAAAACACAGTGCTCCTTTCTGTAAGGACAGAAAGGACTTCATTCTAATATATATAAACATCCTTCATAGTAAGAGCTGCATAGTTCCAAAAGAAGCTACTAATGCAAAGCAGGCACTGCTGTCCAGTATTGGCAATGGTTCTCACACGAATTTTTTTCTCTTTAGAAAAATGAGAATAATGCAATTTAGAGAATGAAAAAGGACAAATATGAATGAGCACTACATATTATGTACCATGCAACTATGCCAAATTGTTTTTCCTTATTGTATCTCTCATAATCCTTTCAACCTTAGGAAACTTAAGGAATGTCCCTAACATCAGACATTAGATTATGACTAGATATAGGGCTTCCTATAAGGACACCAAAGCTCATAATCTTTCTATTGTACCACAATCCCCACAGAAACATCTACTTAGATTTATAATACGTTGATAGGAAAATGAAATTGCTTTATACATCATGTTGTTACAAAAGTTCCTAAAAATGTAGTTTTTAAAAAGTAAAATTCAATTGCCTTTAGCCTTCCAACAACTTTATACATCATAATACTAATAAAATTTTAGTTAGCAATTTGAAGTAGTAAGTTTGATATTTGATACAACGGGTAAAGAAAAACACATAGCACTGTGGTGATAACAAAGGATACTGACATAGCCCTCAGGAGATAGTTTTACCTTTTATTTTAATGTGAGGAAAACCTTACTTTAACTATTAAGATAAAGGAGTTGAGAAAAAAGAAAAGGTATATCAAATGGGTATAGTGGTGGGCAGGTCTGTAATCCAAGAATTGCAAGAGACTGAGATAGGACAAGGATCATCAGATGCACCCACCCGAGGCAATTTAGCAACTCACTGAGATTTTGTCTCCAATCCATCCATTCATCAATCAACAGG